TCAGGTAAGTTTGTTAATGGGAAGATTTATTGGGTTAATGATGACTCTAGTGATCCTAACATATTTTATATTAATTTGGACGATGAGAAATTGGAAAAGATGGAGCAACCACCTTACAGAGAAGGAAAGTACGATTTGCAATTGGGACTATATGGCAGTGATCTTTGTGGCTATGTTAATAATTGGAGAAAATGTGTGTCTCTTTGGGTTATGAAAAAATCTTGGACGAAGATATTAACCATCAAGTATGATTATTCCCTATTTTTGCCCGTTCTTCCATTTTTCATGTCAAATAAAGGTGAAATTGTGGTTGGTTTTTCATCAACTAATATCATGATATACAATCCAAAGGATGATTCACTCCGTCTTGCCTCTATTGACTTTAATAACTCTGAAACAGAAATCTGCTGCTACGCGGAAATTTACGTTGAAAGCCGAGTGTCTCCTTTTTCTACCGGAAGGACTACTGGTGCAACAATTTTGGGATCTTGTGAGTGATTCTTCTCTTAATTTTATTTTTCTTCAATGTACGTAACTATATCATCACAAAATTTATCATATCCAAAACCATATATGACATAGATAACATCCCTCGAATTAGTTGTACAATGGGGTACTTTCTTGTACTTTCTAATGGATGGATTCCATATAAACAAATTGTTTGACCATTCAACAAAAAATAATCCATTGACATGATTTATATAACGAATCTGTTGCGGTTTTTTCATGGGAAAATTAAAGTAAGATGCCTCCGTCACATCAGACTCATAAAGTACAGACCTAAGAGACCAATCCTTAAGATAATCATCATCATAATGACACCACATGAGTCTATGGTGAGTGTTGTCCTTGTTATTAGCTGATAAGTTAAGATGAGACTTGATAAACTCGGGACTATCAAATCAAGAGGGATTTCACCGGATGCCTAGAGAGGATTTCCGTAATGAGCTCTGATGGAAGAGTAGGGATTCTCAAGATTGATTCTTTCATTGGAATTGATGAAAATCGAGAGAATGAAATTTATTGGTTGCAAATATTTTGAGAGTTTTACTTCTGCATGAAATACAAGAGCGATTGTGGTAACTGTAAAAGTCACAAAAGTCTTCTTTTATATTTATTTTGAGAATTGAAAGCTCCTTACAGTATTGAAAACCTAATATTTATGGGAGCCGTCTATATTTATTTCCCACATTCATTTATTTATTTCTCTACTAGTTACTTCTAAATTCAATAGACTAAAATAATAATGATAATTAAAGAAAATACTTACTATAGTTACTAGGGGTAATGTGGTAAAATCACAACTCATCCCAAAAAAAAAAATCACATCATTTTTCGTTCACGTCTTTTAAAACCCAACAACAGCTTCTTGATTCAATCAACAAAGTTGATAGAATAAACTTGAATACAATGATCTTCTTGTTCATTATTGCATCTGTAATTGTGTCTGCAAAACTCGAGTTGGATTCGTCGAGGATTTTTTAGCATTGTACGGATATTCTCATTATTGCTTCATTTTTTTTCCAGAAAACTAGTAATAGTCTGAATTCTGTATACTTAATTTTTATGTCTTGTACATCTTGGAGGAGCCAAACATTCCGGAAGGTCTCTTTATTGGCGCGTAAGTCTCATATATATATATATATATATATATATATATATATTTGGAAATGGAGTTTTACAGATGATTACGCGGTCTGTGTATGCAAATGCAGATTTAATGTTCATGCACCACATGACGATAAATATATCATCAAGTTGTAGATGACCATATCCTAGTCGATTCTTATTGTGGCCAATGTGGAGTGGTCTCGGGATAAGAATTGTAAGAAAATAATATTTGATTTTCATGAACAAGATGATTTTGTTCTGTTTTTTCAAAATAAAGAATCTGTGATTTCTCCAGATTGCAGCCATCAGACAGAACTGACAATATAAAGTAGGAACAGACTATGACTTGTGATGAAATTTTAAGTTTCTAATTTACAAATTTGTAATTAAATTGAGACTTGTATGACTTGTAAGATGTTGATATATATGAGTATTTTGTGGTAGGGATATGTTGATTTACTGGAATGATGTAACGTTGCTTCAGCATAATTACGAGGAACAAGTTGGAGGCGCGAATGAACAAAATGCTGAGCAAGATTGGGGCATCAATGAATAAGACGTAGACGCTAATGATCAAGCTAAGATGGAGGTGATAATGAACAAGATGGAGGCGCTAATGATCAAGATTTAGGCACTAATGTGCAAAATGTTGTTCAAGATGAGGACGCTAATTTAGGCGCTAATGCGCAAAATGTTGTTCAAGATGAGGACTCTAATGAACAGAATGATGATGAAGATGGAGGCGTGCCAATGAACTGAATGAAGATGTAGATTAACTGGGTGGAAATAGATTATACGAAACAACAAATGATGAAAATCCAGCCATTGAGACTTTGTTACTTCTCTCTTTCGATTGTATGATTTTATGAAATTTTTTGTGTGGGAATTGAACTATTTAGTGATATAATATGCTTTTTTGGATACTTGACTGATAGAAGAGTACTTCTTAGAAATAGGTTCATATAGGATAACCACAATACACGTACAATCCTTATCAGTTTCTGAGTCCATTTTGTAGTGTCGAATCTTGTACGTATGTCTTCCTAAACAAAAGGAATTTGTCCATTTTTCAGGGTTTTAAAGGGGCATGGAAATGAATAAGAACTCCTGAATGAAAAAAGGATGTAACTTCATTTCCTTCGAAAATGGAGTTAATAACTTTGGTGGTCACTCAACTATCAACTATTTTCACAGAAAGTCACTCAACTTTCATTTTCAACTCAAAAGTCACTCAACTAGGACTTCTTTGCATAGAAAGTCACTCACCCTATTTTATTATTATTTTCACTAAAATTTGCTGACATGGAATTTTTATTTTTAGTCAAAAATTTAAAAACCAAATACATATCCATTTAAACCATTTAATTACCCGACCCATTTAACCCGACCCGCTAAAAATATGATATTGAACCTTTTATTTTATCATTAGTTCCCCAAATCATTCTCTTTGTCTCCTTCTTTCTCCTAGCATTCTTCTTCTGCCTTTTTTTAATTTCTCAATTTCAAATCTCTATTAAGATACTAGAGTTTCTGCAGGGATGAACCTGTTAGGGGATGGAATTTTCACAGTTGACGGTGATAAGTGGAGGGAGCAGAGGAAGTTGTCGAGTCAAGGGTCTTGAGGGATTTTAGCAGTGTGGTTTTTAGAAAAAATGCAGCCAAGTTTGCCCATATATTGTCTGAAGTTGTCAAATCCAATAAGATAGTGGACATTCAAGTAAGTATTTGTCCATGAATTGACTTCACAGAATAATTGTTTTTTTTAACAGATTATTTTTTTCGATGTAGGATCTGCTCATGAAAGCAACTCTATTTTCCTTATTCAGGGTTGCCTTTGGAGTTGAGCTAGACAGCATGAGCGGTTCAAATGAACAAGGCAAAAACTCCATTGCTGCATTTGACGATGCAAATGCAATGACACTTTGGAGATATGTTGATATCTTATGGAAGATTAAAAGATTCTTTAATATTGAAACAGAAGCCAAGTTAAGAGAAAATATAAAAATTGTTGATGCATTTGTTTATAAATTGATCCATAGAAAAACTGAGCAGATGAGTACTCCAAAAGTTGATTTATCTGTAAGCGAATCACCTTTTAGTGTGCAAATGAGATTGCTACTGCTGCTGCAATCACAGAAGGCTTGAATTCCAAGAAGTGAATTCCTTTTAGTGTGCTTAGTATGGACTCTTGTATTTGCAACTTCATTCATCACTTTACAATATATTTCTATAAATCACCATTCAACTATCAAATGTCACTAAATAAGCAGCACCTTTAAACAAAAAATACTACTTATAAAATAACACATATAACTAATGAGTTAAGGTCACATGAGGACCAAAAAAAGGGTCGCCCCATAAACTAAAGCTTCTGCTACACATAGAGTTTGGAGAAGGGCCCGACCACAAGGGCTACACTAATTATATGACGACAAGTTTTAACAAAATAAAACATTTCATAGACAATGTCATAATAACACTTCCTTACGAATCAGTTAAGGTCAAATGATCACAAGTTTTGACAAAAAAAGACACTTTATATACTGTGTCATATTAGCATTTTCTAACTAATGAGTTAAGGTCACATGACCACAAGTTTTAACAAAATAAGACACTTTATATACAATGTCATATTAACACTTCCTGGACCTTTTCATTGAAGCTTCACAAACATAATCCTTCATGACATTTTTCTTGTAAATTCTGCCTTTTTTTGATAAGCCTGCATGCGCACTTTCATCTTGAGCACATTGATCTCCTCGCACATAATTAGCACTTTCATCTTGAGCACGTTGAGCTCCTCGCACACAATCAACACTTTCATCTTGAGCACACCGATCTCCTCGCACACAATCAACAGTTTCATCTTGAGCACACCGAGTTCCTCGCACACAATCAACACTTTCATCTTGAGTACACTGTGTTTCTCGCACACAATCAACAATTTCATCTTGAGCACACCAAGCTCCTCGCACACAATTAGCGCCTTTATCACTCACATTTACAACATCTATGACTTGAACAACAACTCCATCTTGAATGCATTCAACACCAGTTGATTTTTGTCTTGATTCCTAATAAAAAAATTACAGCTTTAAAATCTACCATATGATATACAGTTAATGAAGGACAATATTAAAAGTGTAGATCACAACCTGAGTTATTATAGATTGATTTGCTAAATTGACCTCCAATTGAGAATTATCCCACGTGTCATGGTTAATTTGGTTAGAGTATCCCCACGAGACATATTCAGACACCAAGTCTTGAGTTTCAAAATGTTGTCTTGTTTCTGGCACAACAATATTGACATACTTATAGTGGCCTCTTGCATTGTGTCCATCTTTGTTGCATATAGAACATTTTATATGAATAGTGCCTTTTTTTGATTATTTTTTTTGAGCCAGTTCTTCACCCCTTTTGGCTAACCTACTTTCCGATTGTCTTTGCACTTCAGCTTGTTTCTGTTTTTGTAGCTCTTCAGCTTCCTTTCGTCTTAATTTAGGCTTCCTCCCTCTCTTCTTTCTTACTATCTTAGGAGGAAGAACCTCACCACCATTCATAACTTCTGGCCAATGATCCTCGGGATTGGTTGGATTAATGAAATGTGAGTACACATTTTTGAAAGTTTCAACTTTGTAGTATACATTCACGTAATCTTCAACTCTATCACAATTTCCATGAATACTAACCAAAGCATGAGGACAAGGCAAACCTGTTAAATCCCATCTTCTACATGTACAACTTCCTTTTTGCATATCAACAATAAATGGCCCTCCTGGACCCTCAACCGACACCTTTGGTCCACCAGAAAAATTTGGTATAAACAAAGCTGCCTCAAGTCTTATTTGGTTCAATTTTTTTTCAATTTTTGGACAAATAAGACCTTGATACTTGTTAATCCATTCCTTTTTCTTATACAACCTCTTCATAAGCTTATTCTTTATCATTTCCAATAGAGTTATAATAGCTTTGTCTCTTGCATCAAGAATGTACCTACAAATTAAAATATAAAGACAAAATGAGAGGATTAACAGGTGTGAGTGATATTTTACATAGACACAAGAATACGAAGTACCTATTGAAACTTTCGCAAAGATTATTCAAGAGCATGTCACATCTACTATGTGTCTTGAACAATGCTCTAGTCCAGGTTTGGAATGGCCTTTCAGAATGATCAAACCATTTTCTAGCCTCTCTATCCTCTTGCTCGAGTCGTTCCATACATATCCTAAATCTCACTTCATTACTTGCTCTTGCTGCATTCCATACTAGGTCCTTTAGTGCCTTGCCTTTATGTTTTTGTCTAAAATTTTGATACATGTGTCTGACACAATTTCTATGTTCTGCTTCCGGAAATAAATCCTTAACAGCCCCAATCAATCCCTGTAGCATTGAATTTAAATAGTTCAATACATACTACAAAAACAATAGTAAACTAGAAAGATTAAAAATTGAGTGTTTCACCTTTTGTCTGTCAGACATGAATGCGATGTGGTGACTATTTGTTATCTCTAAATCATATCCAAGATTGGTTAAAAACCAACTCCAAGTCTCTTTACTTTCAGCATCAGCGATCACAGCATATGCAACAGGAAAGATGCAATCATTAGGATCAATTGCAACAGCAGCTAACAAATTGCCTTCATATGTGCCCTTAAGCCAACAACCATCTAGGCTTATTAATGGCCTACACCCAGACTTAAAAGCTTCCTTCAAAGGAGCAAGACACACATAAAATCCCTTAAATTTACTTTCATCTCTCCAAATTTCTACATTAGAGCCTGGATTTGTATTCAGCAAATCAGCCCTATATCTTAACAATTTTTCATATTGTGCACCCTCATCTCCATAAACCCATTTCAAAGCTTGTCGTTTGGCCCTCCATGCCTTCATATATTCTATTGTGTAGCCAAGATCCTTCTGCACTATTGCAATTATTCCCTTAACACTCCAAGTTGGATCAATTCTAAAAATATTAAAATACTTTCTTGCAATCCATTGATGTGTCAAATGAAAATTGTCAGATACTGTAGGACCTGTATGATTTATATTCATGGTTTTGATTTGAATGGTAGGATCAAACTTACTTATTGGGCTAGCAAAAACATGAAATGGACACCCAGATTGCTTGCATTTACAAATACATCTTTTTTTATCATTGGTGGCGAAATGTATTTGCCTCATATGTTTGATCCCCCAGTTCATACAAACCTCCTTAAACTGTTCAAAGCTGGCAAACTTCATCCCTACTTCTAAAATAGGGTTGTCATTTTTTGCATCATACTCTTTATATTCTACCTCGGCTTCTGAATCAGTACCCCCCCTCCAACAATTCATCAGAATCGTCATAATCTGATTCTGCATTTTGATTCACTTGCGGAATTAAAATTCCAGTAGTGGATGGTCCAACACCAATCATCCGACTATCAATATTTTTTTTAGGTCTACCTTTCACCTTCATATGACGACGCTCAGTAACAACATCATGATAATCTTCATCACCTTCCTCCAAGTTATAATCAAGATCATTGAAATTATCATTTTCTACCTCACCCACCATATTATCTTGGACAACCTCTACTACATCATCCCTTAAACTCAGAACACTATCACCCTGAACTTCTTCAGCTAGTACAACACTTAAAAAAATTTCAAACTGTGACGATATTCCCTATAAACACAGATTAAAGTAGAAGAAAAATCATAAAGCAGACACAATTCAAAAAGTCTTAAAATAATAAATCCTGACCATATCTATTAAGAAAGGTCCAACACCCACATTGATAAAGAGCCTTTAATCCCACTTGCCGTTCTTCGATTCAACAACAAATAGTTAAAGATAAAAATAAACCCTAGATTAAACAAAAATATACATTTTTCATAAAAATAAAATAAAAAATAATCTAAAGCGTACCTTGTTTTCTTGTGAAATACCCATGTAGTGTCCCCTTTCCTCATGAAACAAGGACTGAGGTGATGAGCTAGAACCCTTAATTTGAGATCCACTTGTTGTTCTCCTTAGCTCAAGAGCATATTCCATCTTCAATTGTGAAACTTTGGATTATAATGGAAGATAATTCTAAATCTAGATAAAAGGAAAGGAGGAATCCATTATAAATTTCTACTTAATAGAGATTTTGAAATTGTGAAATTAAAAAAAGGCAGAAGAAGAACGCTAGGAGAACAGGAGACAAAGAGAATGATTATAATGGAAGATATTTTTAGCGGGTCGGGTTAAATGGGTCGGATAATTAAATGGTTTAAATGGATATGTATTTGGTTTTTAAATTTTTGATTAAAAATAAAAATTCCATGTCAGCAAATTTTAGTGAAAAAAATAATAAAATAGGGTGAGTGACTTTCTATGCAAAGAAGTCATAGTTGAGTGACTTTTGAGTTGAAAACGAAAGTTGAGTGCCTTTTTATGAAAAAAGCTGATAGTTGAGTGACCACCAAAGTTATTAACTCTTCGAAAATGGCATACATGAGCCAGTTTGTTAAAGATTCAATTTTTAAGAGAATCCATGTTCAGCCAGCAGAACCCGTTACTGAAATCCTCTTAAGGCTTCTGGTGAAACCCCTCTTGAAATTCAAGTTAGTTTCAAAATCCTGACTTCGTTTAATCTCTAACCCTGAATTTATCAACATGACCCATCTCAGCAAATCTGATAATAACAAGGATTTCACTCACCATAGGTTTATGCTGAGTTTTAATCTACCTAAGAATAATCTTAAGGACTGTTCTGTCAGTTCTTTACTTTATGACTTTGTTGCCGATGGTTGAATTTGGAGTATCCTACGGAAGAAATCCGCAGAACTGTTGAGATAGTGGGTTCTGTCAATGTGTTGATTTGTCTTGCCATTGCGAAAAAAATACTTTTTTTATCTAAATCTGCCGATTAGGAAGTTCAAGAAATTGCCTGAATGTAGAGATGAATTGTGCTTAATTTAGTCACCATTTTTCATGTATGGTTTTGGATATGATAAGGTTCATGGGGATTATAAGGTAGCAACAGGGTTTCATAATGTGAGTTATGGCGATTCATTTCTTGTTAATGTTAAAATGTTTAGTCTGAATAGTGATTCTTGGACTAATCATTCTGAGAGTGGGGTGCTAGGCAATAAGTCGGGTGTGTTTGTGAATGGGAAACTTCATTGGGCTAATAGGATTTGTTGTCGTTCTGGTTGGGATATCATTTTTGTTGATTTGGCTGATGGGGCATGGGGAGAAGTGGAGCAACCCTACTATGGATAAGGGGATTTTGGTTGGATGTGGGAGTTTTGCGAAGTGATCTTTCCATATTTTGTAATTATCGAAGAACTCAAGCTGACGAGTGGGTTTTGAAGGAGTATGGGGTTATACAATTTTGGACAAAGATGTTTACCATTGATATTCCTTGTGATCCTATGATGGGTTGTAAGTTTTGTCGATTCTTTTGCATGTCAAATAAAGGTGAAGTTTTGTTTCATTTTGGCTCAACTTTCATGATTTACAATTCAAAGGATCACTCAATCGCACATCAAAGCCCACATCTAGAGGTTACCAGGTATGCATATGAGGCAAGCATCTACATAGAGAGCCTAGTTTGGCCTTTTTTTTAACGGAAGGAATCAAGGATGCAACAACGGAGGATGTTGAAATAGCTCCGATGAAGATGATTGTGTGATTAATAGTAAGACTTCTCTGCATATTTCTCAAGTGTTGTTATAATCTGTTTCTTTTCAAGTATAGAACAAGATATTATATATTATGTTGTTCTATTTTTCACAATATGTAGGATCTGCTTGACAACCGCTCGATGTTGCATCATTTTTTATCTAGACATCAGATTAGTCAACAATGGTAAACATTGTTTTTTTGGCTCGATCAGATGTTCAAAGATTACCAGAAAGGAAACATTTTTGATGCAACAACAACAAATGCTAGAAAAGTTTAGATGAAGACAGTCGTGTCATTAATAATTTAGGTAGAGTTCTCTATACATTTTTCTCTAGTGTTGTTATATTTTCATTTCAAATATAGAACAAGACATTGCATATATTATGCCTATCGTTGAACCATATCTTCCTAGAGATCTTTTTATTTCCGTGTATTGCTCGATTGAAGATTCTATCATCCAAATTCATATCATTATTCATCATATAAAATCCTTGAATGCATCACGAATTAATTTTTTATGAGAAATGATATGTGCAACACACATACACTAAAACTAGTAATCACTAATCATATAAGAAAAATAGACAAACCTAACACTACCAAAAGTTTTTGCGGCAAGAAATATTTCATATTTTGATTGTTTTGGTGTTACTTTTCTTTTTCAATTTTTGATGTTGCATAGTTCAAATAACGAATGATTTAATACACAAAATTAAGTTGAATTCAAATGCTCGCATATCAGGGAAATGGAACTCCGAAATTTAGGATAATAATTAAATTACTATTTTATCTAGTGTGAAATATTTTTTATAGAGTAAAAAAGCGAAATACATTTGGCTAAGGCCCTCTCCCTTCGTGCTTTTAATTTAGGGAAAAGGTTCAAATATGGCATCGGACTTCGAGAAAATGTTCATTTATGTCATCCGTTAAAAGTTTGGTTCATCCATGCCATTATTTGTTAACTGAAATGGCATAAATGAGCCAAACTTTAAACGGATGAATAGATGAGTCTTTACTCAAAATTTGATAGCATATTTGAGTCTTTTCCTTTTAAAAAATATTTAATTAATGACTGGACGAATCATAATTGACCACATATAAAAAATGATTTTGCAAAATCTAAACTTTTTTCAGTTAACAAATAATGGCATAAATGAGTCTTTTCTCAAACGAAAATGACATAGATGAGCCAAATTTTTAACGGATGTCATAGATGAACTTTTTCTTAAAGTTCAATGGCATATTTAAGTCTTTTCCCTTTAATATAACATAGATAGATATAGATGGTATATTGTGAAGACATTTAATCGCCTTGAATACCATAATAATATTGTTCATGTTATTTATACGGGAAAACTACACAAAATAGACTGAACTGTGAAACTATTTACCCAAATTGGACTCAACCCAAAACTATTTACGCGCTTACCCCCACTTTTTCCTTTCTTATTCCGCGATGATGTCAGCATGACATCAACATCATACTATGAATTAATCCTTTGTGATATTCCACCGATATATTGATACCATATCGGTACCATATAAGACTGAGCTTAATCATCTGTGATACTCCGTCGGTATATTGATACCCTATCAGTATCATATAGGATTCAACTCTTTTCTAAGAAATAAATAAGAAACAATTAAGAGAAAATTATTAAAGTCACAATCTTATTTATTAAAATCTAAATTAGTAGAAAATCTATATTGTGAGTTGTTTAACATTTACTTATTGAAAAGCAAATATATCACCACATGACATTTTTTTTATCTTTTTACATGTATTATTTATTGACATATATGTGGTTTTTTAATTATTAGTATTTTGAACAATTTATAAAATCATATACATATTAAAACTACAACTTGTAATTTTTATGTGTAAAAGTAGATAGTTTATTTGATTATACTATCATTAACTGTCTTTTCGATTTTAAAAGTAGATGGCCTATCTTTTATTAAAACTACAACTTGTAATTTTTATGTGTAAAGGTAGATAGTTATTTGATTATACTATCATTAACTGTCTTTTCGATTTTAAAAGTAGATGGCCTATCTTTTCGAAATTAAAAATTGATGTTTTGTGAGTGATAATTATTTACCCTCAAATAATCCAAGTGAGAAAATAACAAATATGACAACAAAATTGTTCTTCTCATAGCCAGTTAGAAGCCACAAAAAAATAATATTGTCAGGCAGTTATTTGCTTTGATCAAGTACATAAAATCGAAAACTTCATAATAATTCAAGGGTATAATTGAAAAGAAGTTTTTTGTAGAGTTTTAATCTAAACACAAGATTAGGTGGAAACAATGAACCAAACACTTGATAAAAATAAACATTGTGATACTAATCTATGCATTACTTATCCATGCATTACTAATCTTTGTCTTGCTAATTCTTGCGTTATAAATCTTTGTACCAAACGACCCATCTTTTGTCTTACTAAATGTTTTTCTCATATTAAGTGAATTGTTTGGACTTTTTTCATAATTTAAAATAGGGAAAATTGTATGAAATAGAAAACTATTAATTCAAATTAAATGTTATAGCCATAGTTTATTTTAATTGTAATTCGCAGCAAACATCCCTTTTTTTGCCATCTGATTCGATATACAGTTAGCCATTTTCTGTATATAATTAGCCACTTTATACATTTCGGTATAAAATATATATAAAATGCGTTTGTGTTTGTATAAAGCGAGAGAAAATTGTATATACAAATACAAATACATATATTTTTGTCATATACACTTATAATTATACAAATACATATCTTATTATACAAATTACAATGTATAAATGAATTTATACAAACCTGAACAATTTGTATAAAATTGGATGTTTGTAGCGAATTATACAAATCAAAAGCTCCATAGCAAACATAAAATTTGTTATGGAACGCAATTATGCAAATTATAAGTATAACATACAAATATGATTTTTATGTTTGCTATATGTGAAAGTTGCTCTTTAAAATAAGTAAAGTTTTCAAAGTTTAAGAGAATTATTGGGCCTTTGTTTTTCTTCCATATTTACTGTTCCTTTTAATGCAGTTCTTAATTACTTTACATTTTCTGGTAAAATAGTTTTAAAATAATCAAAAAGGATAATAGTAAAAGATAATCTTTTAATTTATATCCTTAATATTTTTTTAACAAATGTGTCATGTCCAATAATTCATTTAATATAGACTGAATAGAGTACACTGTTATTTTGATTTATGTTATACATTGTTTAATTATCACGAATAGGGGTGGTCACGGGTTGGTTTGGATCGGTTATTGGTCAAAACCAAAACCAAACCAACTTAATCGGTTTTAAAATTATCAAAATCAAACCAAACCAAATATAATATACATTTATCGGTTTGGTGATTA